ATGAAAGGTTTTCATTTACTTAGTTAAAATATGCTCGTTCATTAACTTGATACAAGTTTGAATAATAACGGAAATACCATGTTGTTTCCTAGTTGTCAATAAATTTCTTTCTAATTTACTGGCGTATAGCTTTGGATGCTTATATCTGACATGCGAGGATAGACAGACATATATCCTACATTGGTAACACCACCCCGTTCGTGGCACCTTAAGTTCCGTTTACCTGCGTACCAACTTCAACTTTGATTCTCTTCCCTAATGTACTTGGTCATATTTAGTTTACCCGTATATGTCTGTTGTCCACGATTTCTTATCTTTTTGCTGAAAACTAGGGCTGCTTATAATCCACTTCGTCAACGGGCCAGTCATTTAGACTCATTATCTGACTTTTGATCGACAGTGCTTATAATTGCAAACGAATCTACCGGATAGTCAATAACCATAATTCACAATTTTGACCTCCCTGTTGTGTGGGTTAGTGATATCGCTCTCTGGTTACCTGCCGTGCAATCACGCTTTGCCTTGTGGCAGTTTACGAGGAAGGACACGAAATTTCATTATCTCGTGGCTGCACCGCCCTTGGATATCACTACCTACCTTTGTGATATCATCGACGGTCTACCGACAGAGGCCCCGTATACTACGCTAAGGGGGCTCTCATTTTCCATATATATCTACAAATGCAAATTGTCTCCAGTGTTTGATTTTAGATGAGAACTTCGGCGAAAGGAAGCCCAAAGAGGTTCTTGGACGCCTGGAACAGTTAGCCTATTGGAAATAACTCGATGGCACAATGTTCAAGCAGCTCTTCCTCCAGTGGCTGCCCGCCTCTGCGAAAGCTCTCCTTGCGTCCAATATCCCCTCCCACTCAACTCCAATACTCGCTGGAACGACTAGCCATATAATTTAGTACTACCAACCGCCAAAACTTCACCTACCATCGAAGAATTCGAAAGACGCCTAGATAGTGGAGAATATGCGAGTTCCAGGAAGCAGTTCAGAAAAAGAGGATGCGATCACTGGAGCAAGATATTTATTTGCCTCTTCTTCTGAGACGCCTAAATGCTTTCGAACTTGGATTATCCCAGCTCCATGCTTCACGTACCTTTAACCACCGGAGGCCTTCTATTACTCGCCGCCGTAGAGCTCCCACTCCATTTTCAAGTCAAACTACGAATACCGGTTCATGTTGGTACCATCCCACTTATGATTCCAATGCCCAACATGGCCAACCTTCTGTTTTGCCTCTACATTCTACTTATAAACCGTCTTCCGTTTTGAATACATACCAGATAGGTATTTCATCTGTAGGTGTAAGCGAAGTGTTGATATGTGCTAGCAGTGTTTTCCTGTATATATAAAGTGTACCTGT